AAGTAAACATGAAAACATTGAGCTGTGGAGTTGAGCACTGATGATGTGATCACCATGTGCTGTGTTCTCAAAGAAACTTAATTCAGAAATAGAAGAAACCGCATGTTAAAAATGACAGCTGATTACTCTCTTTTTCTACCAGAGAAAAGTCTGTCCAGCTCTGCTGGAAGTTCTGAAAAGAGTATTTAGGTGGATTTTCTCTAGAAAATGAAATAGGTGTACATGGTGAGCAGACTTTCAAATTGCAAGGTTTTTGGCGTTGTAAAGTCAGGATTGCTGCCAGAGTTGGGGCAGTATTGAAGTACAGGACTGACTGACTCCTGAGAAGTGAGGAATTCCTGCATTCCAAACCTGGTTTTGGTAACTAGTTTTTGTGGTCTCTAAATAACGCACTGTTTTGGCACTTGCTGAAAAAAGGCTGCTTTGTTGTTTTTTCTTTTTCTGTAAAATCAGTGAACCTGTGCATTTCTTTTAGATCATTAGATATCTTTGCAGAGAGATTTAGATATTAATATTTTTCCTTAAATTTAATAAAGTCTCCTGGTGAGGTTGATACCTGGAATTATCATCATAGAACAGAAATATGCATCCCTACATCAATGTTTTATATATTCTGATATCTGTAATTTGTGTTTAATTATTTGGTATTTAATAGAGAACCTCTAAATGTATTTTGTAAATGAAACTGATGTGATAATATTGACTTATTATAATGCTATCTGGTGTTTAAACCATTGCAATGAAAGAGAGAAAATCACATGTTTTCAGCATTTAATACAAACTATTTGACCACTATGAAGAAATAATTTCCCAGCGAACAGTTAATCTTACTTGGACAAAGAATATCCTTGCATTGCAAAATGTGCGCTCTTCTTCCAGTTAAATCGTTTAGAAAGCAGAAATTATATCTTGCTATCAAGTAGTAAATTGAAATGTCAGTGTTTTGTTTTGTCCCCGAAACTCTCCTTTGAGCTGAGTCCTTCTGACAAGATATTAACGATGCTCAGAAAGTTGAAAATTGTTTATTCTGTGAAAGAAGTATGTACCAAATATCAGGGTGTGGTTTAGCTGGCTTTGCTTTCAAGGTATAATTTTATACTCAAAAGTACTACTATCAATTTTTTTCTCATCCATTTCATGCATTCCCTATGAATTTTAGCAGCAGTCCGTTCTTTAGGAAAAAACCAGAATACAAATGCAGTTTTCTGTTGGTGCATTGAAGTAACTGGTAACTGTAGGTTAGGAATCCAAATGCATTTTACTGTCTGCAAGATGTAAATAAAATTGTGTTTGTTTTAAATTGGCACTCATGGTTTCCCGTCTAACCAGAGCCCTTTGTGTGCAGGAGCCAGTGCATTGTCCTGCAGGGGTTACAGCTCACGGTGGCTGCGCTCTGACTAACAGCACCAAATGGGATATGTAGCCTCGGCCAACTTTATGTATCAGAGTGCTTTTTCCTTCTGCTTCCCACCACCCCCACCCCCCGCCAAAAATCATAAAAGTTGAGCTTCTTTCCATATGTATGATTTGGGTTTTTCTCTCCTTCCTGTTTACAGACAAAACTTGCCAATGGCACTTCCAGTATGATTGTGCCCAAGCAAAGAAAACTGTCTGCAAGCTATGAGAAGGAGAAGGAACTCTGCGTCAAGTATTTTGAACAGTGGTCCGAGTCTGACCAGGTGGAGTTTGTGGAGCACCTCATCTCCCAGATGTGTCACTACCAGCACGGACATATAAACTCATACCTCAAACCCATGTTACAGCGGGACTTCATCACTGCACTGCCAGGTATTTCTCCAGGCGGAGGGAGTTGTTGCTCCATGTTGTCTCTCAGAAAACTATTCCGCTCTGGCCTACCCTGCTGGAGAGGTCTCTTCTAGGGTCAGTTTGCAAACTAGATGATAGCTTTTGAACAAAAAGCTCTGTACCAGTACAAAATGTAGTAATATTTTGTATTCCTATCATCTCTCAAGGCATGATCTAATACCACCATGGTTTGGCTAGGAGTAAATGATAGCTTATGTATGTATCATAAGGACAGTCAGTCATCACAAGCCACAGGGCAGATAGTTGTACTCATAATGCCTACAACAATGCATGACTAACGAAAATTTTTGAAATTAAAACTACTACTCTTTTTGGTTGCTTAGCTGAGGTTTTCCCTTTTCTTACTTAGATTTTTTTTTTTTGTCTCTCTTTCCTAGTAAAATACCTTCCTGACGCCATTGCTTGATTATGTGTTTATTGCTAATAGAGAATGGAGGACATAAGATCAAAGGATGGAAATGTTCTAGTTTTTGCGCTTCTGTAGTGCTTTCCACTGAGGATATTATCCCAGCTGTTCTCAGATGTGGCATTGGGTGTATCTCACAGAATGCACACATAAAGTAGTGTACGTGCATTTTTTTATTGACCCTGTCTTATAGATGGGAAAACTGAGGCAGTGGGAGATAAAATTTATACAGGAATAGAGTTTCAGAACCAGACAGAAATTCCTGGCTCTTTGGTCTTTTTTTTCAGACCATTAGATCATACCTCTGTAGATAGATAGATAGATAGTTAGTAGATAGTTAATAGATAAGACATAGTTCCTTAGTTTCAGATGGACCCAAGCACAAGTGCTACAGGTGTTGTCTGTAAATAGCTAGTTGAAGAGAGGAGTTTCTTGCCAAAAGCTCATTCAGTGAATACCTTTGGAGAACTGCTGAACTCCGACAATTTGGTCAATCCAGTCATTCGATCATTCTTCAGAAGGGATTTCCTAAAATGAAATTTAAGTTCTAGGGTTAAAAGATAGAAAAAAGCATGCTTAACTGTGAATAGTACAAAGCATAAAGGCACTGCACGAGTTTTGCTATGAAGTTAAATACATAGGCACACTGGATTTTTAAGCTCATTGTGCCCAGTAATCAAATGGCTGTTGTAGCATTAAAAAAAAAAATCTTAGTTATGCTAAGTACCTGCTTTATGTTAGTTTTTAGTAGTCCAATGGCAATAATCTTGTGTACTTAGAGCAGCATTATAACTTGTGGAGCTATTCTGTTCCAGAAAAATAGAGAGTATTTTGAAAGTGCATTGATTTCCCCAGTTTTAAAGTGGAAGTATACATATAGTTACATACACAATTTTTCCAGGTCTTTCTCCACAAAACTCTATCAAAGCAAGCCAGTACATCTTATTTGCACTTGCTTATTTCATCCTACAGGCCTTTTTCTGAAAATTTTTGGCAAATGCTATAAATGTTTTCAGAGGCATTCAAAATTTCCTAGCCATACAGTATTTGTTAGTGGTCTTTTCACAGTTACCCAGGAAGCAGCTGATTTTACTATCTTAGAATGCAGAATAGATAGGAATCAGGCAGCTAATATCTGAGTATTTGAAGAGTTGTGGGAACAGTGTGCTTAAATAATGTATGTGCATAATTTGCATGTTTGCAAAGTGCTAATGTCCTAGTGAATTATTTCCTAGAGAAAATTAATGGCAAGGAATTACACTGGTGCAAGCTCTGCAGTCTGTGCAGGATGTCCTGAGTAAAGCCAGGTTTCTAATGAGGGAAAAGGGAAGGTAAGAAACTGCCTAGGAAAGCGAGATGAAAGTACAATTTCAAATTAAGTCACATAACCAAAAAACCCCTTAAACTCTTTCAGTATTAGCTTTCTGAAATTCTCAAGTGTTCAGTATTCTGGTTTCAATTTTACTCCTTCATTCTCTCTCCTGCTCTCCCCCTCGAGTAAATAAAACAATAAAGCTACTTCAAAATCATGAGGCATCTTATCTTTGTCCTCCTATCACTGTCCCAAAGAATGACCAGAATTAAAGGCAGTTTTAGATCATGAGCACACTTTACTAATATAGAGTAAAATTGGCTCAGATTATTTTCCCAGTGCTTTGGACTTGTTTGAAAAATACAGCTTAACTGTGTACTTAACAAACTTTGTTCTGTTCTGAAAAATAAGGTCTCCGCTTAGCATTTCCAAGCTGTTTAACATTTTTTATGAGGAAAGTAATTTTTATAAGGGTTTCATGTGTGAAATAACTGAAACATTCTTGTTGGTATGGAGGGCTGAAGGGCTAATCGTGTTTCACATCGATTTAGCAAAATCTTTTGTGAGCAAAGATTTCTCTTTTTTAAGGAAGCAATGCTTTGTTAGATATATGTCTCAGTGAGTTGTGCTGTTCCTAAGAAACATAATAATAAAATTGAGTTTTCAGCCAGGCCAAAATAGCTCTGCCCTTCCACTTCTCATAAATGTGAGAAGGAGAGGCCAAAGCATTAGTATTCCTTCTCTGCAAAGGATCTGGAATCAATGGCAAAGGGTGACTTATGGTCATGGAAATAGTTACAACACCTCATTGCAGCAAGATCTAAAGTGCAACTACTGATGATCCAGAAAGGGCAGGTGGGTCAGAGGCAGACTTGTGGGTGAAGATTGCTGTGACCAGTTTATGCAGTGTAGTCCTGCTTCCTAAAGCCCACCTGTCTGTTCCCACTATAAAATAATTTCTTGCTGTCACACTGCTTACATAAAGCCACCAGTATGGACGTTACACAGGCAGGCATTTGTAAATGTCCTGGTGGGTCTGTAAATGTCTTTGGGTCCATTGGAAGCAACACAGGCTGGGAAAGCAAATATACCATTTCCATCCAGTGGAGAGAGCTCAGGGCTGCAGGTGTCAGAGTGGGAAAGCAGGGGACCGATGTTCATGTCTGCCCTACCAAATTGCAGAATTCCTGCAAATTCCAGTTCACGTTCACTAAAACATTGTATCTCTCTTTCCACGAATTGCTGTAGTGTCAATCTAAATTTACAAACACTCTTTTTTTCCTTTTCTTAAAGAATTTTATATAGTGGCTGTATATATCTTTTCAGATTAAATACATAATAAAGGCTGCTGATGCTTTTATTTTGCAGGTTGACATCTAATTTTGCATCTATAAAGATAAGAAATGTCAGACCTCTTTCTGCACTCTCTGGTTGTGCGTGGTATCATTCACGTGCTTTTTCTACTGCATGAATGGAAGCATAAAATGCTGGGCAGAATGTCTCCCCCTAAGTGTATTATAAATTTAGGATGTTTGAAAGGAGTGAGAGGAGGCATTCTGAGTTTTCTCATTTTAATGCATTGGGAGATAATTTTAAGATCTTTCGGTTAACAAAAACAAAGGTTGGGCTTTTTGTGTCTTACTCTAATAAGAGTCAGCTGATTACACCCAGTTTGGTTTTGCAGAAATACAGACATGTGACTGTAAAAATGCGCTTGCTGCTTTTTCTTTCTCTGTCACAAGCAGAGAGGTCTTTGAGGCTCTTGTTTTAAAAGCAAGAAAAGACGTATTTAATGCTGTCCCAAATGTGAACCAAAGGGCAGATGCATGTAATGCCCATCTGCCATGCTTCCTTTTCGGTTGGTCTGAACATTACGCCTGAGGGATGATGGCCTCTAAACTACAACTTTCACAAAACCTCTGAAATTTGACCTGTGAAGTGAGATAATCTCTTGATGGTGTGTCTCACTTGTGCATTAAACAGTCTCCAAGAGAAGCTGTATTTATGCAACGTCTCATTTAAAAGGCATCTTATTTTCCTGAAGTCTTGTTGGTGATTAAATTTGAGTGGGTAAGGGCACATTTTTACTGAATACATCCATCCAGTTAAGAAACATAGCATAACCTTCCCTGGGCCCCAGCTCCTCAGGCGTTACATCAGGTTGCTTGGTGCTAACCAGGCAATTGCTTTACATTTCACTCCAGCCATGTTGAAACAAAGCCAGTCTTGGTATTTGCACTGGAAAATATTTGCAAATTATACCATTTTGGTGCATATTTTTCCTCCACCCACTAAAATAAATGAAACTAGCAAACCTGCTTCACTTTCTCTTTACACAGCCTCCCTTCCCTCTCAACTTCCCTGTGCATCTGCATATCTTCCCCTCCCCCATGTCTAAAGGTACCACTACCCTTCAGGGCACACATTGGGAATATATATTTTTTTCTTCATTACGTTTAAAAGCTACTGCTTTAGCAAAAACAGCTTTTGAGCCGTTGGAACATGAGAACAGCTGTAGCAGTGAGATGAGAAATGGTCCTAATATAGAGAGATTTTGGGGGCTGCGTCGCTGAGTTGGAAATGCCATCCATAGAATATCCCCCTAGTGCTAAAACCCATCGAAATAGATTGGAATGACTTCTTGGATTCTTTATTATTTTTAATGACTTGTTGTGTTATATCCAAAGGAAGTTGGAGAACGCTGTTCACTCCTGAACTTAGACGCAAATGCTCTTCTGTGCATTTGGTCCAGCGCTGCATGCAGAAGAGGAGACAGAAAGAGAGGGTATCTTTGTACTATCAAGGGGAGTTGTTTTAAACTCCATGTCTCCCCAGCAAATAATCTTTTGTTGTTTTTTTTTTTTGGTTTGTTGGTTTTTTTTTTCTCTCCCAGCTCGGGGATTGGATCACATTGCTGAGAACATTCTGTCATACCTGGATGCCAAATCATTGTGTGCTGCTGAGCTGGTGTGCAAGGAGTGGTACCGGGTGACATCGGACGGCATGTTGTGGAAGAAGCTCATCGAGAGAATGGTCAGGACAGACTCCCTGTGGAGGGGGTTGTCAGAGAGGAGAGGATGGTGAGGAAACTGCATCTTCACCTCTTTTGCCCCCATTCAGGACAGTAGGTGCTGTGTGTTTCAAACCATGTTTGAAGAGGGTTATTTAGCACCCTGAAACATCATTTTGGTTCCAAACCTGAGAGTTGCTTAAATCGAAATTGGGGGGTTGGGGAGTTAGGGCGTCATTTGGCTACACAGGCAATGTGGGGGCTTTTTCCTCACCTTCCTCATCTGATCGTGCTCTTATCCCACTGTGACAAGTGAGATATACAGACTGAGATTTTTACGCCCAGCTGTCATTCAGTTCAAATTAAGAAGCTGTGTACACCCCAGGGGAACACTAAACTAGTCAGCAGTTCAGAGCAGAAGAGCTTTTTTAGGGGTGGCAGTGGGGCAGCATGTGCTATGAATTAGTTGTTTCCTGATAGGTCTGTTTGTTTTCCTCAGCAGATTTTCACTATTAGATATCTGTTTAATTTTGAAACTGGAAGCTGAGGGTAGGTACCACGGAGAATAGGGGACTTTAGAAATGCAGATAGATTAGTTAATAATCATCTCGAATAGCCTTACTACAATGTGGGTCTCACTCAAGTTTGAAGCTCTCTGTTAACATTTCATTAGAACTTTCCCTCTCAGAGGTACGTCCTTTAATACATAATTTTCTTTTCCAAGGGTGTCCCTAGGATGTTGGCAGAAAGGAAGCTGGGTATGAATATTTCATAAACAAGATAAAAGTGACAGCTCAGGCATTTTGGTTGCTATTAAAAAGAAAAAGATACAGAGTTGCAAACAAAGACTCTTGTTTTATGGTTAATTTTGTTATACTGTTTGTCTCGGGAAGTAAAGGCGAGTAAATCAGGATTATGAAACATCCTTTAAAAATAAATACTGTTTTGATCTGCTTCCAATAGTGTAATCTTTATAAAGAGTGTAAAATAAACATAAGCATGGCAGTGGTAGGTAACTTCTGCATTCCTTTTAGTACCTTGTTCTCTCCAGGACTTCTGTTTTTTGCTCTGTATTGTTGAGGTCACAGTAAGTCCAAAGAGGACCTTAAGAGGTTTTTTAGTCCCTCCTGTTTCCCAAAGGCAGAGACAGGATTCTCTTAAGTCTTCCCAGATGTTTGTCTAACTTGTTCTTAAAAACCTTCATTGATGGAGATTCCCCAAACCTTGCCTGGGCAAGGAATTCCACTGTTTCACTAACTTCAGTGTTAGAAAGATTTTCCTAAAATCTAGGCTGTCTTCCTAGCTGCAGTTCAGCATGTTATATTTAGCCTACACAAGCACACATACACAGGACAGTTTCTCATTCTCCTTTTTGCAGTAACCTTTTGCATGTTGGAAGATGATTACGTTTCCTACATTTTGGATGTGCTAATCAATCATAATCCTGTGTTGTCTTGTCCTCTCGTCATTCCTGGTTTTCTCTGTTTAGACCATCGTCCCCAATTACTCCATTCTTGGAGGATAGTGTATTCAGCTGGACGTCTGTCTTCTGCTGAGGCATCTCTAGAGTTTGGTGGTGTGGGAAGCATTGCTCAGCATGCTGTATGGAGGACACTCTGTTTTATGCTTTCCAGTAGAACATGTGTTGTTTTGGTTTGGGGTTTTTTTGTTGTTTTTTTTTTTAAACAGTGGTATGTATAATACTGTTACTAAATTAACTACCCTTTCTGTGTAAGTTCTACTTAGGCATTATTCTTCATCTTGCATGCTTACCTTGTTATTCAGTGGTGAACTTGACACTTGTCCTTACTGAATTAGATTCTATTTATTGTTTGGTATTTCTTCATTTTGTCAGGAGCATTATGAGTTTAGTCTTATCCTCCAAAGTGCTTGTAGCTCTCCTAGCTTTAGTATCATTGGCCAGATAATAAACACACTTCTTGTTCCATTGTTTGTCATGAATGAAAATGCTCAATAATGACACATCTAGGACAGATTCCATGCAGGATCCCAGTTGCCATCCTGTTTGACAGGGCACCATTGATAAACTGTGCTTTCCAGCCATTTGTGTGTCCATCCTTGAGCTCTTCCAAGATCATACTTCTCTTGCTAAGTCATGAGAATAGCATGTGAGAAGAAATTAGGTCAGTTTGACATGGTGTATTCTGAATTGATCAGTGTTGCCTGTTGTTTGTCACCTTGCCATCTTCTAGGCACTCATCTGATTGACTGCGTGCTCTAGAACTGCTAAGCAGTCAAAGTTGAGTTGGACAGTCCACCATTTCCTTGGTGGGCCTTCTTCCTTTTTTTTTAAAATGCAAGAGCTACATTTGTCTTTTTTCCTGTTCTGTGCAACTTTACCTATTCTATGCATCTTGCAGAGATCACAGCTGTTAGTTCTCAAGTTCCTCCCTCCAGATTTTAGAAATAGCGTTAGCACTGATTACTAGTCATACAGACACCTGACATTTCTGAAAAACAATTGCAAATCCTGCTTCTCATCTCAAAGGACAGTCACACCATTTTACTGCACCTCTTCAGGTTTACAGTGTCCCAGACGTTGCTTTGACACAACAGGAGGAAGTTGTGCCCTGTCTTTCAGATTGCCCTCTGATTAGCTCTGGAAGATACAACTGCAGGCATGGTGGGGTGGTTAAGAGAGGCAGACAAGAAATATCCAGTGTAATTGCATCTCTGCTGTATGGAGCTTTAGAGCTTGTAATCAGTGGCAGTGCTGTGCGTGGCACAAGGAGTTGAGTAACTGCACAGTTCAGAGTGATAGAAGACTGGTGTTCTTTGCTTACAGCTCCTCATTTTGCACATGGGCTGCCTGCGTTCAGCATTTGCAGCTCATAGTTTACAACAGAAGCACCCAGTTCTGCAGCACGGTGGCCTTCACTGGCAGCTTGTCAGGGAGCAATAAGGGTTACACAGATCTAGAGAAATATAAAATAGAAGCCCAAAATCTGGGCATGACTGTGTCCATCTGAATACTTGATTGAATTGTCCAGTCATCAAAACCTGCAAACAAGAGTTCCTTTTATCCCAGAGCCACAGCACAACAGCCACTGGGATGCCGTGGAAATTCCAAGCAATCCTCTAGCTGAACTGTAAACAACTGACTCTACATGCAGCAAGGCAGGGCTTATAGGTAGCAATAAGACCTTGTATTAGATCAGCTAGTAAAGCTGGAAACAACAGACAGGTTTTCAGGCACATAGGCTTGTATACAGATTTTCGTAGACCTACCCCAAGTCTTACAGGATGTGCCCTGTGTATTTGCTCTATCTTCAAAGCATTTTTCATCTCCCTGGGCCAATAATTGCAATTTTCTTGTATGCCCTCCCAGACTGGATCACAGTAAATAGGCAACCATCTAGTTAGTTGTTTGCCTGTACCTACGTGTCCTTTCTTCACCTGTGTTTGTCCCCCTATGAGTGGCTGCTGCTCACTGTATTTGAAAACTCAGATGATTGCTCTGTCTGAAGTGGAAAGCACCTTTCTCTGAAGTCGTACTTAAAGTATTTCATTCAAAGAATTATCAAAAGTTCTTTTCTTTAGCATTTGTTATTTTGTTTGTTCAGTCCTATAGTTTGCTACTGCCTTATAACCTAAAAATTTCAGTTCATTGTTGTGGTTTCCCTGGTTCATCAGGGCAGCTAATGTACAGTCTCTCAAATAAGTTACAAGGTATGCTGTATGGAAAGGACAAGAAAGAAATGCGCAAGGAAGTATTGAACAATTAATTATGCCATAATGGAGCAAGGGAGGAAGAAGTGGAGAGCTGGCCCGGTGTAAACTCAGTGCCTCTGATGCCAGGATTACACTCGGAGGCATTTGTGCCTCTCTCCATTTTGTGAGGCATGTTGCCAGGCAGAACAGCAGTTAGTACGCCCATGGTGGGGTTTACTAGCTTCCACACCGTGTTTGGTGGCTTCTTAACTTCAGGATGAGGAATTAAAGTTTTTTACACAGCAGGTAGTGATTGCCGTTTACAGATTTTTTTTTGTAGCAAAAATCTAGCTTGGGATATGAGTATTCCAAATCAGTGTTGAAATGAGGGAGGCACCATAGATGAAGTGTTGCTTACCAAAATATAGTAGTAGCAGTAAAATGTCCATGTACCAAAACTGATCCTGTTCCTGCTATTGCAGATAAAAGCTAGCCTTAAATGCATAGTGAGTTTGAGGATTCCTTGGTTTCTCTCATTTTCTTTGTACACTTTATTGTAAAGATGACCTCTGATATGGGTATGTGTGTTGTGGGCGTGAGCCATTCTCACCTCCGATTGAGTTGAGTGGGCTCATGTCTGTTATAGAGAATATATTTCCCTTCCCTGAGTGATGAGGCACAGATTTTTCATGAGTGCCAAAGTGCAACACCGACGCATTACAGGACAAACAAGGAACCCACCCTGTCTTACTGAGTGAATTAAGTTTGAATATGAATCAGTGCTTTTCAACAGTGGTTACCCATTTGTAAAATGCCAGGAGGACCTTTCTCCAAAATGCTGAAACACGATTTTTGTTCAACAGGAGTGTTCTTTGTCTTCCAGGGGACAATATCTATTTAAAAATAAACCTCCTGATGGGACTGCACCACCCAACTCCTTCTACAGAGCACTTTATCCCAAAATTATACAGGACATAGAGGTAAGAAACAGCTTCCAGATGTGGTGGTGTTTAGTTTTTGGTTTGTTTTTTTTTTTTTTTTTAAATCTCCCTGATTCACTCATGATGCTGAAATTCTGATAATATTTCATTCTAATGAAATATTTCTCTAAATCTGATATGTCTGTGTTTGTCCAGAGTTTGTACGTCTGGGATAGTTATATAAGGTCCCAGGCTTCGCTGCTCCTTTAAACAGAGGATGAGTTGGATTGTTCACTGAGCTGTTTGCAGATGGAGTCTCTACACCTTTAACAGCAGCACCGTACCATCTCGACTTTCTCTGTTCCATAATATTTTGCTCCACCCAGTGCAGATGAGACCTAATAAGATGTTAGGGGCAGATAGCAGGAACAGAGTCAGGGAGAAGGTGCATTGCTAAAGACTGCAGTCCTAAGACCCAGGGAAACAGGAAGCAGCTGAAGCACGGTTGCCATGTATCTAGTGCGAGCAAAATGCCATGTTCTGCTCATTTCCTAATGGCAAAAGCGGTGCTCTGGCACAGTTGTGACACATTTTACAATTACTTAGCTAGAACTCAACTGAAACTTTCTCTTCAGTTGTTTAGTCGTTGAGTCACAGGAGTTAAGGGTTAGAGACACAAAAAAGCTTTTAGGTCACTTCTCCCTCACCATTCCACATAACACAGACGAGTTTAGGCACAATATGTTTTCCAGACATTTCTCTATTTAATCAGTTTTATTACATGTGTTACTACTTCTAGAAGGGCCTTATTACATGAAAACGTGTGAAGAAAAGCATCCGCTGTCTTCTCAAACAAAAAAAAGGGGGGATAGTTCTGTGCTTTATTTTTACTTCTCTTTTGTCTTCTGTCTCTCCTCAAGACAATAGAGTCAAACTGGCGGTGCGGAAGGCACAGTTTACAGAGGATCCACTGCCGAAGTGAGACAAGCAAAGGGGTTTATTGTTTACAGTATGATGATCAGAAGATAGTAAGTGGCCTACGAGACAATACTATTAAGGTGAGAATGCTCCAAAATGGCATACTAATGGCATGTAGTGTCTGTGCCATAAATAATGGTGTCCTAATTTCAGTGACACCTATTCAATCTCTTGTTAGTAACCTAGCCTTCTCCTTCCCCCACCTCATACCTGCACAGCACGTGTACCTTTCTTATCTGGCAAGAGAGACCCTGTTTTCTTACAAATGGACTTCGCTAGCAGAATTTTTGCCCGTTAGTAATTACAGGCTATGTAATTACTGTGCCCTGTACCCTGATGAGAAGGGTAAAACCAATGTTCATAGTAAAGCCAGTAATATCAAAGATGTTAATGTGTTGCACCAAAGAGCCTGTGGAAGACTCTACAGATGCCATTAAAGATGTTCTAACTGCACTATGGATGATGTGTCGTAGTAAAAAACAGACCAGTCAAAACAGTAAATGCTGAAAGATGAAAATCTTACTGAACTGTCTGGTTTTGAATGTTTGCTATCTTAGATCTGGGATAAGAATACATTGGAATGCAAGCGAATTCTCACCGGACACACGGGTTCTGTCCTGTGCCTCCAGTATGATGAACGAGTGATCATTACTGGATCTTCGGACTCAACAGTCAGGTCTGTGCTCGTGGTTTGGAGCCTTGTGTTTGCCTCTAAGACGTTAGCCTTGCAAGCTGCTGAAATAATCTTCTCTTAAATGTGTGCTGTTCAGTCAGTTTCATGAAGTAGTTCAGCATATTTGTTCAGGAGTGTACTGTACTTGTTTATCAGCTGTCCATGCAAATGGTTGTCAAGGAGAAATGAGAACCTAAGCAAAGGCCAGTCAAGGTCAAGATGACTTAGGAAGGCCATCTGGCACTTCACTAAGGTTTTGCATGTTTTGACACTCTCTGAGAAAGTTTTAAATTCTCACTGAGAATAACTTTTAAAAAGTTGGTTGAAGCTTTCAAAGCAAGTTTGAGGGTTTAGTCATCGATTGTCACTTAATTTTAACAAAAGACACATAACTAGATCTCCTGTGACTTTTAATTAAATTCAGCATGATGTTTCTTTTTATTCAATCTTTCTCATTTCACTTTCCTTCCAGTCTCCAGCAAAAGGCTGGACGCCTCAAGTCAGTACTTATGGTGCATGCTGTGCAGATGTGAAGTCCACTAGACATATTACAGGGTCCCAGAGAGTCTAAGACCTGCAGTGTAAATACAGGCACATATGAGTTAGGAATTGCAGTATGAACCTGGATGCGAAGGAGCAAGTTTCTCTTCTCCGTGTTGCAATATATTCTCTTCTTGTCAGAGTACAAACAATGCCCATGCAGTGAACTTATAGACAACAAAAAACTGTGTCAGTGGCCTTTTCTGAAGCTATTAGCATGTGCTCCTATGACTGCAAGCTCCTCGTGGTTATCACCATGCTTGCATGTAAACTACCATTGTTAAGCTAATAACCGTTAAATTTAGTTCCTGACATGTGATGCGTGCAGTCTTGTGGCGCTGCTAGATTTTGGGGTCCTAGCATTAGTAGGAATCCAGAATTTCAGCAACACCGCCTGCCTGGTGATGGTGTGAGAACTGCACTGTGCTGAAGAGATCTCAAAAGGAGAGTCTGATTTCTGTAACGAGCACTATGATCTTCCGTATCAGGCCAGGCAGGCCAAATTGCAGACTGGCTAGTTGCCCAGAAATACTTTGTTTCCCACTGTATCTCTAAATGTTTGTGCAGACCCCAGAGGCACATAGGATGCATCACTTTTATCCTTGGGTCTCCTCAGGAAGAGGGCTTCATCCAATAGACAGTACAGATGGGCTCTTAATGCTTCTGAGATCTCAGGGATGCACTTGTCCAAAGAAGTCAGTAGGTCTCCAGCTCCTGTTCAGTTTGGCAAGCCTGTCTGCAAACTGCTCGTATGTTAATGGCTCAGGTCTTTAGTCTGTGTTTTTTTCTCCTTTGCATTTTGTAATTGGAATGTAGTTTTCTTTCTCATTTATAGTCCATAAGCTGGTGCACTTCAGCTTCCCTAAGTTAGGAAATAAGACATTAGAAGTCTTTCTCACATCTTGCCTTTTCTTACTGCTCGCCTTATTGGCAGAGGAAAGTTTTAACTTCTGCAATGTCTGATGTGCCTGATGATACAGCCATTTTCTGCTCTTACGTAGTGTATCTGGGATACAGGTGTGATAGTGCCAAAATAAACCTCTTTATGGAGGGTAAAAGTTGTCTGCCAACAGAATAGCCCAAAAGAAACATTTTTAAGGCTTAAAATCTTCATTTCAAGTCCTAGAAGTTATGTATGAATCCTTTGTCTAACTTTCATCTTAAACTATCTTTCAGCTGAAACAGTTGGTTCCAATAACATTAAATTGATATAAATGCTCTGTCTTAATTTGGTTATTCAGCACATTCCTGGAATATAGCTGTGTACCAGATGCACTGCAGGGTAAATGCAATTCATGGTGTAACTTGTGGCAATTATTTACATTTGTTTGAAAAGCATTATCTTGTCTTCTGCTTCTGTATAAATTATCCTTTGAGTTGATAGTCCTATGAGAGAGGTTAAAAAGTAAACCTGTCACTGAACTTGCTTTTCCCCAGATCACGATTAAGTTCTCATTGACTGGAAATGTAGTGTGTGGTGGGCTGACACAACCAGAAAACATCACTCTTTAAGGCCATCTAGCTCATACCTTTCCTCAGTGCTAAATTTCCTTAATTAAAGAACACTTTTTTCCTGGATGGGTTATTTTTATGGTGTTAACTACATTGCAGGGTTTTTGGCTGCTGGACTGTCTCAATGTGTGCATAATCAACAGGTTTATATAATACATCTTTTAATGAACTATTTAATAGATGTAGATATAACTTGCGGTGTTTCCTTCTCTAATATTGCTAGAGAGTCAGTTACCTCTCTCGCTCTGCAGAAAATCCACTGTACAGTTTTTTAACTCTCTTCTCTCTGGTTTGAAATTTGAAACTGCAGGGTGTGGGACGTGAACGCAGGCGAGATGCTGAATACGCTGATTCACCACTGCGAAGCAGTACTGCACCTCCGTTTCAATAATGGCATGATGGTGACATGTTCCAAAGACCGTTCCATTGCTGTGTGGGACATGGCTTCACCAACAGACATCACCCTGCGGAGGGTGCTAGTAGGGCACCGAGCTGCCGTCAATGTAGTGGACTTTGATGACAAGTACATTGTATCAGCATCAGGTGACAGAACTATAAAGGTGAGGTGTTTCAGAGGCTTTTTATTTGCAGCACTGGGGTATTTAGTAACCAAGAACAGTGACCAGACAGGGAAGATGGTCCTTGGCAGTTATTACACAGATCTTCCTTCAGAAGCAGTGTTCTTCCTACTGCTCATTTCCACTCGTCCCTCCTCTGTTGAGCTTGCACAACTTGTTTGCAGAGCTGTATGGCAAATCAGATCCAGGTGCAGATGCAGTTGAAAAAGAACTATTTTTTCTGTGTTCTTTTTCAACTTGACCACTTCCATAATCTGTTTCAGCATCAGTCATTTGAACAGTTTTCAGAGGGCAGCATGGGGGCAAAAGTGAAGGTGAGTGGATAGGAGTCACTTAAGTGTTACTGCTATGACCTTAGTCTACAGCATTAAAACTGAGGAAAATCAAGATCCTGTGTAGACTAAATCATAGCCCGAGAGTGCTAAAGCCTGATTTTGGAAGCTAATTCTCATACAGTATGGCAAAAATCTTCTATGTACAGTGACTCAAACTGCTAACGGTTGCAGATGAGTCAGAAGTCATCAGAGCGGTAATTTTCCGAGTCTTAATGATAGCATCTTCAATGAAGAGCATTCTGGATGCACCTATATGTCATACACATACCAGCTTTTGTTAGTCTCTTCTTAATGATTTTGTCTCTGTGTGGTTCCCTCCTCCCTTCCTGTCACAGGTATGGAACACTAGTACCTGCGAATTTGTGCGCACCTTAAATGGCCACAAACGAGGCATTGCATGTCTGCAGTACAGAGACAGGCTAGTAGTGAGCGGCTCTTCAGATAATACTATCAGGTGAGAGACACACTCCCCGTTGCAGAGTTGTGTGCAAGCACGTTGTCTCTGATTCCCTGGGATGTGCAGAGGTTAGGCAACTGAAGTGCTCTGTACCCTTGTCATCTTTGAAATATACTTTCTTTGGTATAGAACATTGGGAACTACTGGAAAGAGATATTAGAAGCCTGTTTTACTGTGTTGTCTTTCATCCTTCATATCTCAAGAGTCCCATACTAATCAACAAGTTGCATTGCTCTGACAATTCTGGTGTATGAAAGAGCTGGCAAGTACCACTTTCTGTGATGTCCTCTCATGATATTTTAATTGGGCTATGTGTCTAGTTAAAGGGGTTAGATTTGCAGTAAGAGGCATTTAATCCTCTGCAGAAATCCTCCTGGGTTCTCGCCAAACTCTTCTTGTGGTACTTGGCACCTGGTTAAGTTTGGAACAGCTGGTTTAGAGCACGAAGTTCAGTTTGCTGCCTTTTGCACTTCTCCAGCTGCCCTGGTTGCAATCTGAGATTTAACTCCTGGTATCATGAGCCAGGATTTCTCCCTGCATCCTGCAGCTGCTGGCAGAGGGATGTCCCACTAATCTTGGGGTGTATAGAGCAAGCTTGAATAGTAGTGTACGTGCCATAGGGAAATGGCTTTGTCGTGCAAACAGGAGTAAGAGCAGCCTCCCTTTTGTCTTTGTCATTGCTTTAAATAGTTGTCTGCCTTCTGATAAAACTTGAAAGCTGGACAGTGTAAGCAGAAACCTTTCACTTTGCATGTCAGTAATTTCTCCTCAGTGAGAATTACTCGTGCTGCTGTTTGCCTGTGGTCTTTGTTTGCAACACAGTGCCTCTCCCTGCTTTGCATTCTATAGAAAATGGTGGTCCTTTGGTTGACATCACGAGGTCATTGTGCCGGATTTCAGTATAGGGTTGTCTGAGAGCATGACCAAGAGAGCTGGAACTTCTGTCTCTTTACCAAGGAAAAAGTACTACAGGCATTGTGTAAGAGTAGCACCACTTATATATGGTGAGAACTCCTGCACTTCAAATAGAAAAAAATAACTCTCTGCCATTGTACTGTGAAACTTGATCTCAGAATTGGAGTAAGAAATAGTTAAATATTACAGCAGTTAGGGAATGATGTAAAATGTGACCCGCAATGCTAATAAAAATAAATGTCAAGATAGTGATAACGCTCAAGAGGAGTACATTTACTTTTATGCTTACATTGGACAAAATCCCTAGTTGACAGATAAATCGTGCTAGAATTTCAGGAATGTTGGCGGTGAATCTTGATGAAAGTCAAGTTTGGCAGCTGTGTGGGCAAGGCGCAAGACTCACCTGGTTGCATTGTTTTCTCCCAGCTATTAGCAGAGGGCACAAGTCAGTGTGGAAGGGTGATTAAGAAAGGGCAGGTTACTAAGTCATCTGTGTGGGTGGCATGGTGCTTTGTATGTTTGATTTTAATCCACTGTAAAATGCCAGATGTTGTGTGTTGGTCTTTAGTAGAGACTGCCTCCTGATACAGAATTTGAAGTTTGTCATTCCTCAGTTGCAGGGAAAGTTTTTTCCAAAAGATGACTCAGTGATTTCTAGTTTTGCAACTGCAAATGTAAGGACATGTGTAGAAGCTCAGAAACCAGTATCTTTCTTCTGTAGAGAGATTCCATGTATAAAAATAATTTAGGTTTTGGTTTAGGCCAGAGATTTCACCAGTGTAAGAAGACACAGCTACATAGGCATCGCTGTCGCTGTGCTGAGTTCCATCTGGTTGAAATTGTTGCCTCAAGTTTAATCCAATCACTTCAGTATCTAAGCCTCTAGGGCCAAAGTTCTTAATTGCTACAGACAGGCATGGTGTAGAAAAAAAGAGAAAAAAACAAAAAAAAGATAATATAGAGCAAGAAAATAGACTACATCATCTTGGGTTAATTTTTAAACCAGTGGTTGATTTGCATGTGTGTATTCAACCTCCAGTCTGTGCACACATGGGGATCTGATACTGGCCTGTTTAGACAACAGCATTTTCTCTAGGAGATGGGGATTCAGGCTTCTGTACATCTTCCAGCTCTGCAAGGACTTCAAGTGAATTAAAGGCTGAGATAATTGCAGACCTCCCTCTTCTTCCAGAAGTTCTCTCAAAGCTATAGGAAGGAAGAGTGGTAGTGTTTTTGACTGCATACACTTTGTAGTGAATTTTTTTAGTTAGTTCTCAAACCTTAAGACTAGTTTCTCTTACTATTTGATCCTTTGACTATTTAAAGAAGTAGAAGTTTGAGACGGTTATCAAATCTGGGAGGTACCCTTGGCACCAATTCTGCTAGGAGATTCTGCTGTTCCACAGTAATTATCCCTTTTGTACATGAAGGCCCATTCCCCACATGACTATGGACATGATCATCTCTTCTAATCCCTTTTAGATACAGGTAAAACCTCAAACTGGGACCTGAAAATACAGACCTGAATTAGTGTGGTGCAGCCTCCCAGAGCTGCTGGCTGATGGCAAGGAATGGAAACACATGGCATGAAAGTTCCTGGCACAAGATTGCTCTTCAGACCTTTCTGCACCAGTTAATTTCTGGCATTGTCCATCCTATTTACAGTCCTTGAGAGACTTAATTCTCTCTTACCAGCCAGAGTGCCTTTGGCTGACCTTTGCCATGGAGCTGCTTGCTCTGACCTTGACTGGTGTGCTGGTACTCATGTGAAAACTATTGGGATCTTCACAGATTCCTGAAAGCTCAACTTCAGAGATCAAAGATCACCTTGGGCTCCTCATTGGCCTCAAATGGGTGCACAGACAAATCCTTTCCCCATTCTACAGTGAAGGAAGAGTTCTGTTAATTCTTCTGTTGTCCAAAGTGAGAGCCGTTTGTTGTGGCAGGACAGCCGCAGTGATTATCCACCAACCTTGGGCACGCATCCACTGCGTCTGGTTTATTCTCTGGGGAACCTCAGGAGTAAAATATGCGGGGACAATTTATCTCTGTCCGTGTCGAGGAAAAGTGACCTGACCCCTCAGCAGCTGTACTGCTTCGAGATGTGTCACCCAGAGAAATTCCATGAACCATCCGTATTTCTCACTACTGTGAAGTTCATGTCAGTCTGAATGCTAACTGAATGAGCATTTAAGAACATTTGTGACTGCTTTCTTTCAGCTGTGTGTCAGGGAGCTGCAGCAGATACTGCTATTAAGATTCCTGTACGAGCAGAGCATGTCTTGGGCAGAGGTGGAACACCTCTAGACAATACAAGTCAAAGAATTTCAGTGCTTGTAGGCAAATAATCTTTCTTTATCCGCGGTAATTGGGAGTCATGTCAAAGAGCTGACAGAAGTACAGAAAGCAAAGAGACTTACTTCATAACGGTTTCAAGCGTTTCTTAAACATTTTTCAAGGTAGTATGTAAGTGTAAAAAGTAATGTATTTTAATTTATTCTCCACACTAAAAATCCTTCACAGAGCCCAAAACTCTGGGATATGTACAGTTGAGAGAACAGCGCATTGCTGGGTCTCTTACTGGGATACTATATACTGGGTTTGGTGCCAGAACTTTTTTAGAAATTGGATTATTAGGAGCAGTTAGCAGGGAGCCACAGGAATTATTTGAGAGCAAGAAGAAAATGCATTGCAGAACACTAAACAGAGTGCCCACTTGAGCTTATGCATGGGGTGCTTAGATTACAGAGTAACCATACCTTTCGTGGGAGAAATGACAAATAAAAAAGGGCTTGTTAATTCTTGTACCTTTCACCACTGTATTGATGTCTTAATTTTTCTGATGGTGGTCTCCAAATCAGAAATAGGCACGTAGGGCTACAAAAAGGGGGTGTGTGCCCTGTGACTGTGATCTTACCTATTGGAACAAGCTGCCAAGGGGATTGGTAAGTCTCCCTCTCTTAACGTCTTAAAATCAAGGCAGGATACTTTTTATGAAAAATTAACTTCAGTAAAATAAAGTTATGAGGCTCACTATGAAGATAACTGGGAGATATCCTGTGTTACTAGATCAATAGATGCTAGATGCAACTGATCTTAAAATTTTTGGATCTCTGACTCATTTCTCGTGTGATACTGTAACATAACAGGGTCATGTTGAAAAGCATGCATCCGCTTACAGGATATGGAGTGGTGAATGTAGTTTGTCTCTTTGTTGTTTCATCATAATCTTTATTTCCAAGTTTCCGTTAACTACAAGCAAAGACCAAATGTTTCATTGTAATGATCAGATATTAAAAAATTCTTAGTGCTTCTTTGTACTCTCTTCCAGGCTGTGGGATATCGAGTGTGGGGCATGTTTACGAGTACTGGAAGGCCATGAAGAGTTGGTGAGATGCATACGCTTTGATAACAAGAGGATAGTCAGTGGAGCATATGATGGGTGAGGCTGTCAGTGCATCTTCCTGTCAGTGTCTCACATCCCACTTTGCTGTATCTTCCTTGTAAATATTAGAGCCCTTGTCTGTCATACCAAGTGGACCTTTTAATGGTCAGTAAATCAGGACCATGCTACAAAGTATACCTTTTTTTTTTCCTTCTTTTGAAGTAAGTCCGTGTGATTTGATGTGTGTGGTCCAGTTCTTTAGCTTGTAAGAATATCTGACTGACTCAACCTGAAACCTCTTGTAGCTGAACCACTGGTGAGAACAATCTTTCCCATCTGTGGTTGTCTTCTGGGCCATTTGCCATTACAGACTAGGTGTCTGCATTCCCACATGTTTCTGTTAGTTATTACCACCTGCTTTTTATGTGCTTTACTTTGTTGACAGCGTACTTTTTTTCTCCCATTAAGCTCTATAAGCTTTACAAAGGGGAAATGAAAGAACCAGGTCTCAAGAGCAGGAGGATTGCTGTTATTTTCCTTGAACTGGTGTATTAACTAAGCTATACTAACAGTTAATTTTTTTTTCTGTGAGCACTTGCTCTTTTCTCTTTAACAGAGCCATGGCGTTTGTCTATTTTTTCACTACTAGGAAAATCAAAGTATGGGATCTTGTGGCTGCTTTGGACCCCCGTGCTCCAGCAGGGACCCTCTGCTTGCGAACCCTTGTGGTAAGAGCTTTTGGTAGGGGTGGTGGAGGGGGCAGAAAAGTGTGCTTGATCAGGGCTGTCTTGAGCCGTGAAAACTCAAGTCAGCTTAGCCCCAGTCTGCAGGATCTAGAAATCATTTCTAGGGGTCTGGCTTTTTTGGGTGTCAACTTTTTTTTTTTAATGTTGCAAGCTATAAAGCATTAAAAGTTAGAACCTCTGGAGTTTTTACTCACTTTTTAACAGTTTTGTTCTGTGATTTCAAGTCAATAACTAAATCCATTTTTGAGACCTGTCCTTCTTGGAATCCGTGTGCCCAGTGGGTTTACTTTAGCCTGTGTGTACCTGATGATGTAGCAGTACGTTGGCTGAATAGTTGACATGAAATTTCTTAAAGAAGAGTAGTACATTCCAAATTTTAGGAACAAGAACAAAAACATCCTTGGCATTGCTTTTAACTGGCTTTTGGGTGTTTAAGGAAAGAGCAGGTAAGAACTGGAACAGACAGTGAAATTGCCTCATCCTTAAACAGCAACTACTACTTTCCTGCCATCCGTTGGCATTTAGTGCAGGTCTGATGGTGTGGTTAAAATGCCATTGCGTGAGTGTTAACAACATTCACAGTCATGCTTAACAGTGGCTCTGCGCTGTCTTGTAATAATGTGGGAAAGTTGTGAGAAAAAGGCCAGTACAGCCAAGGCCATGGGAAGGTTCCTGTAAGCATTCCTTCATCACATTGACCCCAAAAAACTTGCACTGTTGCTGGAGATAAAGGAAGATTTCAGTACAGTACCAAATTCTCAGTGAAAAAGAAGTACTAAATGTATTTATTTTTTAGCTAAGAACTGTTTGGGCAGTGTTGGAGTTGGTATATGTTAGACCTTTTCCTGCTGTGGTGTTTGACTATAGTCTGTGCTCTAAAACAAGATTATACGGAGGCTGTCTGATCCTCTGAAAGTGTGGTTACCTCTCCCCAGCTGAGCTGTGCTAGCTGACCTTCTGCACACTCATCAACCACCTGAATTGCTACTGTTGCTGTAGATTTCACTAAAGTATTTTACTTTGCATTTGGTGCAGGCTGTGAGGGTTGCTGTGATTCAGGCAATAGATCATTAAGCCATGCTAACTCTTTTCCAATCATGTATTTGGACCATAAGCTGCAGAGTAAGTGTCTGTGAGAGCCTTGGATACCTGCAGGTACTATGTTGAAAAACCTTCTTGTTAGCCAAATAGAACTGCAAATAATTTCATGGCTGAAATCCAGAAAAACCCTTTGTCATCGGCCACCCAGTTCCAAACTATGGAACAACTCTGTGCCCATGAGCACGTATCTTGAGTGTCAAAGACTTCAGCTTGGTATTAATAGTATTTCTGTTCCAACCTGAGACAAATGTGTGCCTAGTAACCTGTAGACTTAATTTAACTGGTGTGATTTCCTCTGCATTTTCCAGCAGTGGACAGCCAAAGTGCCCCAGCTAATTATATTATAAATCAGAAGCGGTGGGATGGAAACACTATAGGAATCTCAACACATGGATACTCATAAATCCCCGTTTGATAGCGATGGAGGGGGCCAGAAGAGGGGGGGCAGAGGAGGCTGTTGTGGTGCTTTTAGGACTTTTCATGTTTATGACAATAGGGTGTCCTTTTACCCACTTACCCGCGGTTTGGTTTTTTTTTTTCCTCTTCCCTTGGCCTCCAAAATTAAACCTGGCTGCACAATGAACATCGTGAGTCTCCTGCTGCTCGTGTTCAATTTTCAAACAGTAGGAGGAAAGTGCACAGATAACAAATGCTCGCTGCATGCCAGGTCCCTTCCAGTTTCGTCTTCCGTTAGCTGAACAGCGGCCACATGAATTTGACAGAAGCTTTCCAGGCACAGAAAAAGCACACAGATCAGCTTTCCTTACGAGTTTCAGGTCCTCGTGGCCTCAACTTGGGGTGTGCAGTCTGGTTATTGCCACTGCAACAGCCATAAAAAAAGGGAGTTTTAGGAACAGGCTTTGGAAGTACCTCTCTCTCTCTTGGTGTCTCGATGAGCAGTCTCTCAATGAATCTGACTGCCTTAGTGGTATTTTTTAGCAAGAACTTCACTGATTTCACTGCTGCACCACAGACTCTGGAAAAACATTCCTCTCTGGAATAGGTGGGAATATAGAAACCCATAAGTTGTTCTTAAGACAAATTTGACTTATGATTAGAAGATCCGAAAGGTTCCAATGACTGGACCGTTTTTTTTAAAATTTATCTTAAAAATAGAATCTGACTTTTGTTGTGCTTGTGTGTTTTTACTTAATTTTAATTTTAAAATGCAGAGTTTCACTTGAAGGCAGCTGTTGTGCTTTGCAAACTGAGCTGTATTTTTGCAGTCCTGTGTCATGAGACAGAGGCTTCCCATTGAGTAGCTAACAATTCTCTTTTGTCTAAATATTTGAGAAACCTGTATTTTCAGTACTAAAATATTTTAAAGCATGTTTTTTTTCCCGACCCTAGGCCCTTTACAACACATGAGCACTAAAGAGATATATGTTATTAATAGAAGAGATAAGGCTTGCTCTACTTGCATGGTTTCTGTTCCCTTCTGACTGAGGAGGCCACTGCTCACTCTTGCAGCAGTGTAAACACCAAGAAAAAATAGGCAACGCAAAAGGGAAAGCGGAGTGAATTTGCTCTGTGATATCCAGGATCTTGCCGTTACCTCCTGTTAATTACAGTCTGAACTCTTGCCAAATTGTCGTGCCATTTCCACTCAGCCTCAGAACAGAATGCAAACTGCCAATAAAGAATGCCCTTTCTAGTTCATATTTTAGAACTGCTCAAGAGGAATTATTACAGTGTCACTGGACTTTACAACAGGGTCCTTAGTATCCTTCCATACTAAGTTCTTTTCCTCTTTAGCAGTGGCAATGTCTTGAATGCAAGGTTCTCGTCTTTCCCCCTGTAACCTACTGCATCTGGGAATGCTGTGATTTCGGGAAGGAATTTCACCATGGAACAAGGAAGACAGTGCTTCTGTCAGCCTTGCTGGACTGAATTGTGGGGTGGAGGGAGCTTGGTTTGTTCTGCACTGTGCATGTCCAATATTGGGATTTAAGGAGTAACGCAATAACTGTAATGTAAACTTCCTGCGAGCCAAGTACTCAGATATGGCAAACCCTTTGCACTGAAAAAGGGCTTAATTTATGCTATGTGATGGTGATGCACAGTGTATCATGTGGGATTTACTGAGAAATGAATGTAACACTAGAATCCAAGCCCAAGTTCATCTTCCCTGCTCCATCCCAGGTGCCAGCAAGTTTGTGAAGTAACATGCTGTGTCTCCCACTTGCATTTAGGAGCATTCTGGAAGAGTTTTTCGACTTCAGTTTGATGAGTTCCAGATCGTCAGCAGCTCACATGATGACACCATCCTCATCTGGGATTTTCTGAATGATCCAGCTGCCCAAGCAGAATCCACTCGTTCCCCATCCAGAACATACACCTACATCTCAAGATAAATAACACTACACTGTACCTCACACTCGCACAGGTAAAAAAAAAATAAAAATTAGTCTCAAAGTTGACAGTGGATGTAGTGGGAGCATGCTGCTTGAATAACTAGCTGGGTCTATCAATATTTCTCATCTTGTTTGGACAGTAATTACAGTGTCCTGTAAAAGGACAGGAATGTTTTTGATACCTTAGAATAGGGACTTTATTTTAGGATTTGCGGCATGTGGCGGCTGTGAGTTCCCCTGAAGAACTCCTCCTTCTCTGTCCATCATCATCAATAATTAAATCAGCTATCACTGCTGTCCAGAAGGAAGAAGGGTTTCTGCAGAGTGAGTAGAGCAGCTGCTGCCTAACAAGGGGATGCAGATGGCCTGACCCTGGGCAGTTGTCACCAGGCAGGAGAGTTTTGCCAAGAAGAGTCAGCTCTATTCCCTCCCTCTGAAGTGGTGACTGTTGTTCTCACTCTGCAGCAAGCTGATTCAAGAGAACAGTTTGGCTAAGAGAGGAGACACTGAGGCACAAGCAGAGGTGAATTTAATCGAGATGCATCAATGTGCAAAATCATTTGCTGACAGGGCTTAGCCCTCACTCTCTCTAACATAGCATGAGTGTTAAATTGTTCATATCAGAGCCTGGCTGGTTTGCTCATGCCCTTACCCTTTTGTCTTGGCCAGCACAGTGTGGGGAGGACATAATATTTCATATGCTTGGGTCAGTTGTAGAGTGGAATTGATGTATATGAGTGGAGTGGGATAGCACGATTGCCCAGTTTGATGGGTACATGCGCAATTACTGTTAATAGCTTGAGAAAAATGGCAGAAGAGCTGACAGGCTTCTGCAAGGGGGTGTCCACGGTGACATTTTCCTATGAAAATGCTCTGTCATGGGGCACATCCTGTACCCTATCTGTTTGATCGGTAAATGTACAGCGATGCTACAGAGCCGTCAGATCAGCCGTCTTGATTTTCTCAAACACTCTGGTCAATCAGATGTTCTTTTAAAACATTAAAAGGCTTAGTACGAATGGGGTTTGTTTCGTTTGTTCTGTTTTTTGTTCCCAGGACTCATTTAAGCTGCAGTATTTAAATTATCTGCCAATGCCAGGACAAAAGAACTATCCACGTAACCAATACTTGCTGAAGAGAGAGGCTCTCAGACTTGTTTCTGGAACAAAGTTGGCATGCGGTTGATCTCAGACAGGGTCTACTCAGCGCGGCTGACTGCTAAAGTGCTGCTATATCAGAAGATGACTTTTATCTTTCATGAACAGTTAACATTTTTAAACCTTCCCATCCCTTTCCTCCCTTGTCCTCCTCTTCCTGTTCTCTCCTCTTCCCTTTACCCTGTTTGGTTCCCCTCCAAACCCAGTCACAGATGTCCTATGAATATATTTAAGATGTTGCCAGAATGTGTTGCTTTGCTGTTAAGCAGAAGACTTATAGCCACAGTGCATCCTGCTGAGAGAGTCACTTCAGGGTGGGTGGGAGGGTGGGTGGGGAGGAGGCTGCTACTCTCAGACTAAAATCAATATCCATTGCTAGGCCTTTGAAAAAGCATTCAGCTCTGAAGAGCAACAGAAACACAACAGCTAGACCAGCCCCCCCCCCCGACTTCCCTGCGGCTTTTGGCTGTTCTGACTGCAGACCTATTTTTTGTGGAGAGAGGACCCTTGAAATTTGACTATTATGAGCCAAATCCATCTCTTTCCTCTCCTGCCTGCTATGCTAACCCTTTGGAAGCTGGATGTGTGTTGTAGTCTCCCTTAACATCTGCTTGGCTGGGGAATGCTAGTCAATGAAAAGTTAAACTCTCTTCTGCCAAAGTCCCAAGCATGGTGGACTGGAGCTGAGATCCCGTCCACCCTCATCCCAAGTGAAACATCGGCCCGGGGCACTATTTCACTAGCAAAGGGATTGTCTGTACCGTCTTCCTCCTGCTGTTCTCCCTGAAGACAGTGTGTTGCTAATGGCTTACGAATCATTCTGTAAATTGGAGGAAGTTGGAAGCTGGGATGAGGAGGAAAGCTGGATGTTAGTCCTTTCTTTCCATTCCTTCTCCACTCAGAGAGGCTGTAGTTGGGTGCTGGAAGAGGGAGCTGCTAAAAACCTTGTGGAGCTCTCAAGATCCAGCCACCCTAGAATGGAGACACTACACAAACACTCTGGCCATGACAATAAGACTTTGCTCACATGAATAAGCAGGGTTCCCTGGTGATGGCAGATGGGTAAAATGAGTATGGCCATGAATACAGTCAGTACAGTTAGCAGTGGCTCCAGGCCAGTTCTGCAGCATTTCTGGGGCTGGCCTTGCTAGAAAGCCTTTGGAGAGAGAGCCTTTGGTGTGCTTCTCTAACCTACGTGCATGCTCCATTGCGGTTTAGTGATGCAGGCTGATTAGTCTCTTTGCTGATAGCTGAGCTGGATCTTTGCTTTCTAGCTGAGGCTTTTGCAAATTGCCTTTGTTTAGAAGATAAAAATAGCCCTAAAGAGTAGGGACAGGAGAAACAATTCTGCATGTTTGTGAACTAGATGGAGAGGTCTGGGGGAAACCAGCTCTTTTTGCAAAGCTGGAAGGAATTGCAGCAGGTCTGCATTTAGATCAGGAAAGACTGTGTAAATCAGTCCCTGGCCATTCCAGGTTTGCGCCCAGATCTTCCACTGCAGGTCTTGAATAACCTCCACTGCCTTAGTGGGGAGTTGCTCCAGTCTCACAGTAGGAAATTGAGGCCCTTCGTCTCTGGGCTGGAGGGGTCTTAAACAGGCTTTGTTAACACCCTCTAAACTTGGAACTTGGCAGATGGGAAATTTTTTTAAGCTATTGTCATCAACTTCACTTTGCTGTGGAGGCAGTTGCATTGTTTCTGATTGCTTGGGATGCACTTTTTTCCACGAATGAAATTTTGCAAGAAGCTGGACCAGGAGTCCCCAAAGAGCAGTCCGGAGGGCTTAAATCATTTTGGTGACAGCTAAGACAGACAAGAAGGCAATGGAGCTATGGAGGAAGGGAAAGCTGGTGCTTGGGGAGTACCTAGTGCAGTTCCTGAAGCACGTGGGCAGCAGTGTTGAGCACTCAGCTCCCTGTATTTTCATTGAGCTTGGAGACTACATCAGTTCTAAAGAGTGACACAGAGCATGTGGTGACACTCCTGTTTTCTGTTTGAACTAGAGTCAAATAGGTCAACAACTCGACTCTGTTCAGGTTGCACTGACAGCGTGACTTATGTCTGCAGAGTCATAGAAGTTCTGAGTCATGACAATAAGTTCATCCACGACTAATTTTGGCACTACTTTTAAGTCTAGGAAGGCTGTTTTGGATTTCAGGCAGCTCTACATATCAGGCATACTGCAGTCCCAAAGCCAAAGTGGCAAGGGAGCAGCGAGAATCAAAGTTTACATCCCAAACTTTGCTGAGTTGAAGTTCTGAGTCTTATTCTTAATGTTATTTAAACACTGTTCCTCTAAGTTCAGTTATTACAAGGTCTGCAGCATGGTTGCATATCAGCAGGGGTTTATATGACCTTGGCTGCAGATTTAATAGTTATTTTCCTCAGTTTGGTCACCTCTGTCTTTTACATTTAGGTTATTGTAGAAAACAATGATCTGTTACTCCAGCCTCGGAAGGCTGCAGACTTTCCTAAAATTTTAATTGCATCTTTGTGGTCAACACATACCAAGATGCATTTTATTTTGCTAGTTGAGAGAATTTGGGAGAACTGGAAGACTGGCCAAACACAGAGACAGACTGTCCTTGGTTGTCATAGCCCTGCTGCTCCATGCTGCTATGCTGCAACTTCTAAGCACTGTTGGTAGTGGTACCATAGTTTGAACTCTGCTGTGTAGAGATGTTTAAGGTACAGTTAAAACAGTTCAGGCAACAGCTGAAATCCATTTTTGGCACATGGTAAGAATGGTGTCTTACCCTCAAGAAGGGACTGTGTCTGGGTACTTCGTACAGAGCCGCAGAAGGGCGAGGATTCCTACCCCACTCCCCAAGTTGTACAAATTTTCTGATAGCTAAGAAGGAAACCGAAGTTAACTGATCTAACTTGAACTTGAAACTGCCACAGCCTGACATTTGGTGGTGTTTATTGTGCACCCAGGGAGAAGCAATCTGGTAAGTAGATCTCCCAATGTCAGAAGAAAGTGGCTTTTTCAAACTTCCCCCCCTTTGGATATGTGTGCGTGTGTGTGTGAGTGTGCAAGAATGCATGTGAGAGAGGTTTCAGCATGAACTGGATGGATGATCCCTCAGCCAGGTTGGAGTAATTGCAGAGTTTATAATGAAAAGAACTAGAACGTGCCTGCTGAAAGGAGATAAAAAAGGACTGGAAGTGTCTGTGGGCTTTAAGTGTTGCACATCGCTTTGAAATGAAAAATACCTCTGCTGCGTAGAGATCGGCACTTCTCCCACAAGTAGGAAGCTCACACTAGCCTTCCCCCTTGGACTATGGGATGGAAAGTACTGGAGGTGTGGAACATTCAGAGCAGGACAATCCATTATGGCCACACCATCTCCTGCTTGTGACTCCTTTGCAATAGGGCACAGTTTTGCTGCAAATATTTCTCATCCTCAGAGGAATACAGCTTGCTTTAAAATATGCAAATAGAAAATGGCATGAAGGAATTTGCAGTGAGAAAAATTCTGTGGCTGTCATCTCCGGAGCAGCTCCCTCTGCTCCCCGTTAACGTTCAGGGACAGACACATCCGCTGTTGGAATGGAAGGATTCAGGTGACAAGTTGAGAAGACTATGATCATCGGAAACATTGAAATGCTTAACACTTGTTTCTAAACTGGAAGCTGACTTGGACCACCATGCTCTACCTACCCGCCACTTGCTCCTGCTTCAAAGGATCCTTTTTAGTTTTTCTTAATTTTTTTGAACATTGAAAAAGTTGGAGAGTATCATGCGCATTTCTCTGCTCCCAGGTATGTGTTTCCTGCCTCTACCACATGTTCCTTTCTCGGTCTGAGCAGAGCTCCAGCCTTGGTTCTGAGGTTTTTGGCATCCCAACTCCAATGGGAAGCACATCTCCAGGTTGTGCTCTTTGCCTGAC